CCTCTCTCTCTCTCTCTACAGGGACACATCTCTCTCTAAGCGGACACCATGAGGAACGGAACTGATCACAAATTCTGCTCCCCAGCCCCCCTCCTCTTCAGCCAGCTGGTTTGGGGACTATGCCATCGGATTCCATTTACTGGAGTTCCTGCTCTGGATCAGGTAGGAATGTCAGGGCACGTTTTCTGGCATCCGCCGTATGCTTTTTGAGGATGTGGTCCATCCAAAGAACTCCCTTACCGTCATGCACACAGATTCGGTCTGGCTCCTGAGACAGTCAGTGGTTTTCTGTTCTGACTCGCAGGTGATGCAGTGAATCTTTTAATATTGTCCTGCTTTCTACCTTTTCCCCAGCCTAAAATCTGTGCTCATGCTCGGGCCCCATGTCTGCCCCTGGACGCGTATTATCAGTGATAGATAGGCAAGGTTTTACAGGGCCTTCAGTGGGGACTTTGTATCCAGCCAAGATATCATATGGGATGACATCATATAAAAACTTAACAGATATTTCATACATACAAAATAATATAGGCAACGTATATTTAAGATATAAATAAGCGCCACATACTCAACACCAGCTTCAGAAACAAAACAACACGAGTACAACGGAGTCCTCCTTGCGGAACTCGCAGATCGCAACCCCTCCCCACAAAAGGAAACCTCCACCCTCAACTTCCTGCTTATCATTCTCTTGCTTTTATTTATACTGTAGTTTTATGAATCCTAAAATAATAAAGTCACTAGTTCAGCTTCGATGGTCATATTTATCCACGTTGATATGGAGAGCTCTGATTTTTTGTTTTTCTCTGTATAGATACATTTACCACAATGTATCCATATTCTTATTGATGGATATTTGGATAATTTCCAGGATTCTTAGCCATTACAAACAATGTTGCTGTGAACATTCTCGAACATTGCTCCTGGTGCTTTTTATGTATATTAAGTATATACTCATGAGTGGAATTCTTGCCCTACATTCACCTGCTGTGTGACTGGGTAAATCACTCAGCCTCTCCACACTGTGGTTTACCCGTACAGTATATACTCATGAGTGGAATTCTTGGACCATCAAGTATGGGCATCTTCAGTTTTATCAGATTGAAGTCATTATTATACCAAGTTAACTCCCAAGCACTCTGAGACTCTGCACCACGAGCTAGCCAAGTCCGCTGTTGACAGCCTTCTATATTTCCTGGTGATGTGTATTAAACACTACCTCATTACAGTTTTTGATTCTTATGTCCCTGATTATTAATGAGGTTGCACACCTTTTCAGCTTGTTGATCCTTCAGATTTCTCTTCTCTTAAATACCTATTTATGTATTTTGCCCTTTTAAAAAATTGAGTGGCTTTTTTTTTTCTTTTCTTGCTATTTTGTAGAGTTTTATTTACATGTATTTTGAGCATTAGTCCTTTGTTGGTTATATGTGTTGCAACATATTCTCCCTGTTTGTGTCTTGTCTTTCACTTTTATGGTGTTTTGTGGTGTGCAGATGTATTTAATTTTAATATAGTCAAACTTATCCATCTATTCTCTAATCTTTGGGAATTTCGTGTCTTATTAAGAAAACTTTCCCTGCCCGTAAAGTCATAAAAGCCCACAAAAGGAGGCGCTGACAGCAGGACCGGGAGAGCTGGCCAGTGTGCCCGTCAGTTCTGGGCGTGGCCCAGCCCCAGGTGTCTGTTTGAGAAGAGTCGGCCCCTTCCTTTCAGTGGGAGGGCAGTGGGGAGGTGGGGGGTCGGGGGTGGGTGTGCACATTTAGGGGAAGACGACAAACTGGAAAGAGAACTAACTGCCCAGAAGGTGTTAAGACAGTGAGACTAGAGATGTGACCTGCCGGATCTGGGCGGAGAAGGGACTAGGAGTAGTGAGTGAGCTGAGCCGAAGGCTGTCACGCCACCAGATTATGGACTGGGGTTGAGAGTGGCCGGGCTTTCTCTGTAGCCTCCATCACAGCAGCTCGGCAGCTTTATGTGCCTGTGTCTGTGGAGTGCGCATGAGATTTGCTGGCTCCTTCTCTCAGACAGCCCAACTCAACAGGACCGGCTCTGGGACTTTACACATCATGTCAGTGGAAGGAGCCCAGAGGAGGGGCTGACACCCTTCGCATCCACTGTACACCAGGCACTTAGGTGCATCTTCACACAGTATCTGAGAGAGTTATTCTTCTTCTACAGATGAGGAAACAGGTTAAATGACACGCCCAAGGTCACAGAACGTGTAAAATCACTGCCCAAAATCACTCACCACGGCCACATCCCAGCCGGGGCTGGCTCTCCGTGAGAGCTCTGCGGCCTCTGAGCTCAGCCCAGTTGGCTCTACCTTAATGGCTTCTGGACACTGCCTCCCCTGCCTCATCTCTGCAGCTCTGGACACTGACTGAGCTGTGTGGCTGAGGGTGTAGAAGTAAACCGTAAATAACAATTGGGAAACTGGTGGTTTACCAGTAGCTTCACAGTAAGACTTACTTTACCCTCATGAGGGCAGGAACCCTGTCTGTCCTGTCATACTTGATCTCCAGTGCCCCCAGACAGTGCCTGGCACCTGGACAAAGCTCATAGATATTTGTGTAAGAAATGCCAAAAGAAAAGCTTGATCCATGTCCTTGAGCTGTTGAGTACCAGTCAACTGTAGGGTGATAGTGGTGGCAATAGCTGACCCAGACGGAGAGGCAGGCTATCTGTCAGGACTCGGTCCCTGGAGAGTGAGTCAGGACCAGGGCCAAGTTCAGCTCCAATGGGTAGAACAGCCCTGTGCCCCGGGGCCAGTGGAAGCCCCACCTCAGCCAGGCTGGTTTCTGAGACATAAGAGAGCATCTGCCTTGAGAGAGACGGAGTCCTCTCTGCTCTGGCCCTGGAGCACATACCCATATCTGAGTCCCAGAAAACTCAGTCACCTTGGGATCAGAGAGGGAGCATGAGCTGTGGAGTCAAGTGGACCTTGGACTCTGATCCTTGCCCTACATTCACCTGCTGTGTGACTGGGTACATCACTCAGCCTCTCTACACTGTGGTTTACCCGTACAGTGAGTAAAGCTGATAGCAACAATTGAGTTCTTGGGAAGATTCAGGCTAAGTCCACATGAAGGGTGTTCACTGGACATCACTTCCCTCTCTCTTCGCAAAGGTCCATGAAGGCTTCTTGTGGCTCACCTACGTGGCAGAATACGAGGCCCTGGATCCAGTGATATTATCTGTAAACCCACACGAGGTGTTCTGAGCAGTTGAGATGGATTTATGGGATGAGGAGATGGCAGAAACAGGAGGAGGGTTAGACCTGTGGGCAGGGAAAGTGGCTGCTGAGCCTCTGGACAGAGGCCACCTGCAGGGAGAAAGGGGAGTAAATCCAGAGAGAGAGGCCTGCACTGAGGTTTCAGGCCCATAGGTCCCAAAGCCCATTTTCACTTTAACCAGATCGAAGCCAGACAGAGCCTGGTCACCAGGAGTTTTTAGTGACTCCAGGAGAGGCAGGAGCTGCTGCTGAGGTGGTTAAAGCCAGCTCACCTCACAGGGCCCTGAGCTGTCAGGACCCAGGTTCATGAGTGGGATGACTGGACAGCCCTCTGTCCGGCCATCCCGTGATGAGCCTCTGGACCTGTGCCCACTTGGGCCCTTGCCAGAACCAGTTCACCCCTGCCCCGGCCCCAAAGAGCTCCTGGTTGCACATCTGAGGTTGGCCCTCGTGGAGGCTGCCTTTTAGCTTCTCCGTTTACAACCTGCAGCTCAAGTCTCTCTGCCCTTAATGTGCAGATTTTTGACACTTTCATGGACACAAGGAGATGGCAGAAATCCTTCACCTCCCTGAATCATTCCCATGCTGTCTTTCCCGTGTCCCTGTGTCCTGAGTGCATATAATGCAGTGAGAGGGCGTAGGCTTTGGAGTGTCAGGCAGACCTGCTGACATCTACGCCATTGTGAACCCATCCATCACATGCAGATACGTTAGACGGCGCACACCACACACGCACACACCAACAGGCCCGTGGTCCAGCGCCTACCCACAGCAGGAGCTCCCTTCCCCCTCCCCTTTTGGGCCGATACCACAGGCCTTTGGTCTGACATTGCACAGCATCGAGAAGGCTGATTTTGTTTTCTTGTCTTTCCAACATATCTGCAGTGAACATTTAGTTTTTTTATAAACAGGAAAAAAGTGAACTTTAATCTCTCTCTGTGTGTGTAAGTATAGATTTTGAAGACTAGGACTTGGTGAGTGAGTTTCCTAGATCAAAAAGCCAGGCGATAGCTCCTTCCTGGCCAGGAAGCACAGAATCCTCCTTTTGCAATTCCTTGTGTGGTTCTAGCATCATTTCCAGAGACAAGAGCCTATAAGCTGAGACCCCTCCCTAGGACACTGGCCCCCACTGACCACTTTCAACATTCAGGGCTTCCCAGGATGGCCAGGTGTGGAAGGAAGGTGAAATACTACAGTCTTTATGGAAATTAATCTGGTAGCAATCTGCGAAAATTAAAATTATACTCGCCCTTTGCCCCGATACTCTGGAAAGGACATAACTACAAAGGTATTTATGATTACAGTGTAGCATGTGGTGACAAAAAACTGAAAACAAATAATAAGTGTTGGTGAGGATGTGGAGGAATCGGACCCGTGTGCACTGTTGGTGGGATATAAATTGGTGCAACCACACGGAAAACAGTATGGATGTTCCTCAAAAAGTTAAAAATAGAGCTGCCATATGATCCAGCAATCCCACTTCTGAGTATATATCTACAAGAATCGAAAGCACAGTCTCAAAGGAATAACATGCACGCTCATGTTAACGGCAGCATTATTCACAGTATAGTGTCCATCAGTGCATGAATGGATAAACATAATGTGGTATATCCATACAGTGGAGTGTTACTGAGCTTTGAAAAAGATGAACATTCCAGCACATGCTACAACATGGTTGAACTCAGGGTATGATGCCAAGTGAAATAAGCCAGACACAAAAGGACAAACACTGCATGGTTCTGCTTCTATGAGGTTTCTAAAGTAGTCAAATTCATAGAAACAAAGTAGAATGGGGGTTACCAGGGTCTGGAGAGAGGGGGAATGGGGAGTTGTTTAACGTGGACAGAGTTTCAGTTTTGCAAGATTCTGAAGAGCCATTGCACAACAGTGTGAATATACTTAACACTGCCAAACTGTACACTTAAATATGGTTAAGGTGGTAAATTTTGTGTTTGTGGTTTTTTTTGGGGGGAGGGGGTTGTTTGTTTTGTTTTGTTTTTTTTTTTAATTTTTAAAACTTCTGACTTAACCTTTTCTGTTAGTAAGTCTGACTTGGCTGGTGGGTCAGGCAGTGAGGACTGAGCAACTAGGTTATGTGGCCATGCTTCTTGCACATTGAATGAGGTAATTCTGAAATTCTTAGGCTTTGTCAAAAAGATATCTAAAGTAGGAAATACGTATATATGTAATATATATATACATACACACACAGAGAGAATTGTATGTACGTTTTGCAAAAGGAAAACATGCCTCTCACAGAGTCTGAAGCTTATGATGTATTTCTTCAGCATACAAAAACCCCAAGCTAATAGGATGCCTAGGGGAGAATTCAAGAATGCAGTGTTCTAGAGGGGAGGCCCAGAGTCCAGAAAAAAAAAATCCAAAAACTATTATTACATAATATAATTATAAATGTATAATATACATATATAATAATAACATTGTATGTATCTATATAGAGACACAAAATTTTTTGAAATTATTTAAACTCATGACGACTTTCAGATGCCAATTAAAAAATATGTGAGAGGATGCAAGCTTTCTCAGATCCTGGAATGAGCCATGAGCGAAAACCCTCAAGCTGCTGGGTCATTGCTCTCTGTGTCCTTCAGGCAGAGCCACATCTCGATCTCCATGTCCCATGCCAAGTTCCAGGTGTGGCTCAGAGAAGGTGCTAGGTAACTGTGGGACGGTGTGAGCAGGGACAGGGCTTCACCTCCTTCGGCCCAACCCCCAGGCCCTACGGCAAGGATGTGTCACGACTGGACTAACGTGAAGTGAAATAAGCCAGCTACAGAAAGACGACTGATTCCATTTATATGAAACGTAGTCAAATTTATAGAGACCGGAAATAGAATGAGGAGTTAGCGTTTGACAGTTGCTGTTTGGGAAGATGAAAAAGGTCTGGATGTGGTGGTGATGCTTTCACAACAATGTGACTCTTTAATGCCACTGAACTGTACACTGAAAAATAATTAAAATGGTAATTTTATGTTCTGTATTTTTTACTCCAATAAAAACGAATCTATATTTTTGTTCAGGGAAACCAGACCGAAGTGCATAGGATGTTAAATGGTGACACAGGGAGAATGTGGTGACGTGTCAGGGAAATGGTGTAGCGTGGCTACCCGGCCAGCCCTCCTGGACCGAAGTTCCTCGGATCCCGGCTCAGCCAGAACGCCCAAGTCCATGGCCATGAGAGCAAGGACTGACACCTCAGCAGGACCAGCTAAGTAGTTCTCAGGGCCCACTGCAAAACAAGGATTTCAGGAGGGTGGCAGCAGAGCACTAAATTAAGCACAGGATCCTTCTGACACTGCCCAGGTAAGTCAAGCGCCCACGAAACCCACCCTGCTCACTACCACCAGGCGGGCCCGTTAGTTTTGTGGATTAACTTACTGTGGTACTGAGTTATTTCATCACACGCTACTCTAGGTGTCTCCGAAGGTATTTTGTAGACGTGGTTAACACCCACCACCGGTTGACTTTAAAAGGAAATCCCCCTGACAATGTGAATGGGCCTCAGGCAGCCAGCTGAAAAGGCTTAAAAACAAAAGCAGAGTTTTATGGGAGAAGAATAAATTCTGTCTTGAGAGCTTTTGATTGAGTTCCCAGCCTGTGGGGCTACAGATTTCAGGCTTGGAAAGTCATTTGAACCAATGCCTTGAAGTAAATCTAATCTGTACATTGGCTCTATTTCTCTGGAAGACGCTGACTGATATACAAAGAAAGATGGACTGGCGAACTTAATACAAAGATAAGCATAGCAGGCGAAATCCCATGTTCTACAGATGAGGAAACCAAGGCTCAGAGAGGTGAAGAACTTTGTCCAACGTCACACAGCAAGTCAGAAAGGCAGCACCTTCAAGTTTTTACCCAAGGTATGTCTTGCTGTCCCGTATTTTCGATAGCTTGAATTTAATTTTTTTAAATCTGAATTTTGCATTCTATTTTATTACGTAATTGTGTTATAAACTTTTGAGTAATGTTTTATTTTTCAAAGCTTTAGATAACATTTCTGGTCTAGAAAGGAGTGCCATGTTTGTTCTGTGGTCTTCTGGCATCTCCCATCTACCCCAGTGGGAGAAGTACAGACATAAAGGGACAGATCGCAATGGCTTAAGTCTGAAACCTTGAAATTTAGCAAAACTTAAATCGCCGGAAGGCTAAGGCAAAAGAATATTCTGGAAATAGGCTTTCTAATTACCAGAGAACCTAGATGTCCTTTCTGGTTCAGGCTTTTGATGAATATAATTTCCTCTTCCTCTGGTTCAGGGTCTTTTGATACCGAGTAGTGTGTACTGAGCCTAGCAATTGGGCTCCCGAGGGCATCCCTGATAAGGATCCCTTTTTCCCCCTTCTTCGCTTCCTCCTTACTAACCTCTGTTCCAGATTCCCACTGGCTGGCTTCTCTCTCCCACAGCACTGACCTAATTGAGCATCAGGTAGCATGAGCCGGCTACCCGCAGTCTCATCTCGGGAGACCTGGAAAAATACAGTGCTGAGGCTTGGAGCATGGTGCTCTAAGACTGGACCTCTAACAGAGGACAGTGATTGTCAGCAGCATCTAAGAAGAAATAGATATGGTGTTTCCCCAGGCCAGTGTGAAACTAAATCAAAGTACAGCATTGGGGCTGATGGGCCATGAGTAGCTCTCAAAGTTGAATTGAGGGGAGAGGTCACCAGCCCAAAGGAAACATGCAAATTTCACCAAGTAGAGGAAGTGAATTAGTTCCACATGGTCCAGCATTTACTGTTATCGTATTGACGGATTTGGTAATCGTCAGTTCTACTAATAAATGCTGCAAAAACAAGTCGTTTTTGCGTTGTCTTTAGGATTATTTAATACTTCCTAGGTTTGCAAGACTGTTCCATTACAGCTAGAATTTACCAGGCAAATGCTGAGGCTGGATAGGATACTGAAGTGGGAAGCTCTGGGCAGCTGAGAGGTGGCAGTAATGGCCCCATGGACCCTGGAATCATCCGGGTTTGATCCCAATTCTGCCACTTACCAGATTCATGCCTGCAGATAAATGGTCCCTATTATTTCTACAACCTCACTCTCAATGACCTCTCCCTGGTATATCTCACATCTGAACCTCATGCTTAATTATGAAAAAAAGCCCCTGGATCTGTTTATTGTGGAGTTTCAACTCATTTGGAGGCACAAACTCGAAACCATTTTAGTCATTCTGACCCCTGTTCCCATCGCTTGATAACATCTCAAGCTGATTTCTTTATTCCTGAAAACATCAGTTAGTAAAGGATCAGTTTTCTTTGGAATGTCAATTTCATATCCAAATCAAACCTCTTCCCCGCCCCCATCCTAAGAGAAGGAGTGGGCAGGAGGGGGGTAGTGATGGGAACACCCTCTACCCTCTCACTCCTGCTCAGGTTCTGAACCTTCCAAAGCAGAGCAGGAAGGGGGCCCAGGCCAGCTCTGGACCCCTCCTGTCCTCTCCTTGGTCAAGGCTATCTGAGGCGAGCGGTGTCTTGCTTGGTCACGTGACCTAGACTGCTACTACCAGGTGGTCTCCTCCAGGCAAGATGATGGTTTCCTTGGGCCAGCCTCAAACTTCACTCAGGTCCCCTCAGAAAGCAGCACCCGTGTACCCCTTAGGACCCTGCCAGCAGTCCAAGCCTCCAGCCCACTCTGGGTGGGAAGAAGCTACTGTTACATGGCGAGCACTTCCCTTCAGTCCTGTCAGTGCGAGTCTGATCAGACTCTAACCCCAGTGGAGATGATATCAAAAGCCTAATTAGAGGCCCTTTAGGGGAGTGAAGCCTGAGTCAAATGGCCCTTCTGTCGCCTCCAACCCCACCACTTGGTGGTGAGCTCTGCTCTGCATGCACACGCGCACACGCACACACACAGCATCCTGGCTCCCTCCCCTCCTCCACTCCCCGCTACTGCGTGCGCACACACATACACACACACACACACACACAGCGTCCTGGCTCCCGCTCCTCCTCCACTCCCCACTACTTCAAGGTGAAGAACAGGCAAACAGGTCCCTTTCAATATAGCCTGTGTGGGCCACGAGGAACGAGAGTTGGGTGCGCTCTCATCAAGGCCCACCAGATCACGTGACTCTTCTCTAATGAAGGCTACTCCTGGAAGCCTTTGGGATGTGGAGTCAATAACCTCTGCCCTGAGGGCAGTTGTCTGGACCTAATGGCGGTTGGCCCAGGTTCTAGAGCACTTTGGTTGGCCCATGGCTGCTGGTTACAGTTGCACAAGCTGCACACTACGCAACTCCAGTGTCATTTCACCCTTTAGTCATCAGAGATTAATTATATCATTACAACTTTCTGGCAGAGGCATGTCAGGTGTCAACACAGGGGCTCACAGCAAGGTTGGTGCCACCTAGGCAGATGCCAAGCCCTCAGAACAAGGCCTGCTCCCATTTGCCACAAGAACCCGAGAAGTCAGAAACCAAGGGCTCATTATCCACAGAACCCCCCTCCGGAAGTACCCACATCTCGTCCCTGTGTCTTGGTGATCTCGTTTCCTGCCTCAGCCTTTCTAGTACCTCAGACTGGAACTTCATCAGGGACAGAGGGACATCCAAGGAGCCTCAAACCAGGCCACTGTGCAAAGGGGAAAGAGGACAGAAAGAAGGTCCCAGGGAAGCTCACAGTCAGCTTTAGGCTCTGCCTTTTCAGGTGCTAGACTAGGAGAGTTTAAAGGAGGTTGTATAAAAAGAAACAACTGGATATAATGGCTGCCAGAATCTAGCAACGTAACAATAGAACACCAAAAAATAACTTTTGAAACACGATATGTAAAACATAAAATTTACAATTATGGCCATATTATTGAATGCCTTCTGAACCCACAACCCTAATTTCTATATATCGCCAAGTGACTCATATTAACTTTACTCTGAATTTCTTGATAGAAATACTAAAATGCTATCTTCTTTGGACATAAGCTAAGGCTTAGAGTTTGTTGCTTGTGTAGCAGAGATGCTTATAACTTAAAAGAGAGAGACAAGGGATAGTGACCTAAGAATATTCTGCACTATTCATTTACTTGTGGATTTTGCTATAAAGCTGGGATGCAGCCAGATTTTTTTCCATTCGAAGTATATTTGATGGACAGAATTCTGTAATTACACAGTTGGCCCTTGAATGATGCAGAGGTTAGGAGTGCTAACCCTCCACGCAGTCAAACATTGTGCATAACTATGTATTCTTAAACGGAAAAGCTCACCAATTTGACGTAGAGATAAGCAGCATGGTTAGTCAGGGCCACCTGCTGGCAGAACGGGGTACTGCAGCCCAGCTATCGTTCAGACTGAGTGAAGAGTCATCAGAAAAAGCCCCAGCAGAGGAGAAATTCCTGTAGTCCAAGCAAAGCTATAGTGGACGCACAGTGCCACAGTGAAGATGGCGCCACAGGGATTTCAAGCCCTTACAACCAAAATGAAAATTGCCTCATTTTGTCTTTCGGAGACAATAGTTTCCCTAAGGAAATCAATTATATATTAAACACCCAGTATGCCTTATTATTACCCCTCCCTCACCCTAATTTTCAATGAATTCCTTCAGGATATTCCCCTCACCCCAATCAGAACACATCAACAGTTTTATAATGGAATGGAAAAGGTTCACTTTTCAGAAAGTTGTTTTACTTAGCTCTTCCTAAAAGCGAGGAAGTTCTTGAATTGGACCAGCTTCATTGTCACATTCCTTTTATCCTCGACCATATGATGCCCCGCTACCATCTTAGCCACTGCTTTTTCTTTTTTACTTCTGCTTCTTTTTTATTGCCCACACCAAGACGAAGACGAATGGGACGCAGAAAAAACCAGCTCAAGAGAGGCCGCTGCAGAGCACACGTGCAGTTTTATTGAGTTAGTAGCATGCAGGGGATGTTCCTTCCACGATCAGCAAGGGCAGGCATGAGAGTGCAGAATCCAGAGGGAGGAGAGGCGGGGCGGGGTCAGAAGGGCTTCGAGGTCAGGGCCTGGTCACTGGGTGACATGCAGAGCTCTCTCTAGGGGGATCTGTGGTTCATCTCAGGGGCAACCAGGCTCAGATGCCCCTATATTTGGAAAAGCAACTGTCACATCTCACTCCACGCTGAAAAAGAAGGGGGAAGGAGAAGGTGAGGGCTCCATAGTCACTGAGAGACAGCAACCAACACTCACATTCTTATCAAACGAGAAAGAAAATCTTCCAAAAAAATAAATAAATAAAATTCCCCATGGTTTCCTGGCTTCGTGTCTGGGCTCCAGCTGCGGGAGCCGTCATTCGAAGGCTGGGTACTTGGCTGTTCCTCCCGCTCCCAGGGGCCGCTGGGCCTGGCAAGACTGAAGCCAAGGCCTGCGTACTCACCGGTGCTTTTGGCGGTATTCCTGCAGAGCTTTCTCTGCCACAGTCTCCATAAACATAGGGCTGTCCCAGGAGACTTCCGGGACTGTCACCATAATGGGGTAGGAATCAAAGAGCTTCAGAACCACCCTAGTGAAGCCAGTGGGAACACTGGAGTCAGAACTGTGGGAAGCCACCTAGAAGGAGAGGGAGGAAAAAGGGCTGAAACATTGGCCTAACTGGATCCATTTTGCAACAAAAGTCAGGTTTAAATCTGGACAGTTGGGCCCTTTTGCTTTTTACTAATGTCAACATGTATCACCTCGGTGAACAGAAATGCTCTAATTCAGAGACGCTCTTTGGAAGGTGTAAATGCCACCACCAATGACCAGCCCAGGGGAAGCCCCGCGGAGTAAAAAATTTCCAAGCCACCATGGTGATTTCCAAGCCACCATGTTTTCTTTGAGCAGCCACTGGCCAAGCTGTGGTAGAAAAGGAATCAGGGAAAGAAAATAAAAAGGTTCCCAGTGCCAGGGAGAAGCTCTTTATCACTGGTAGAGAACGATGCACAAATTCACGAGCCATCCCACACAGTGCAGGGCAGCGAGGCAGCTTCATGGAAAGAGCACATGGTCCTAAGCCAGACAGACAGGTTCCGATGCCCAGGTGATTCACCTATCAGTTCTCCGACCTCAGGCAAGCTGTGGAACCTCTCTCACTTTCCTCATCCGTAAAATGGGGTGATGCAAGACATTGCACCTCACTGGGTGACAAGGCTTTCATGCAACCATGTACATAAAGGTCTTATGTTTCCTGCCATGTGACGAATGTTCCATCAGAAGCAGAAGCGGCTCCCCTCGTATTTTCATCCCGTTTCACACCCCAGGGGAGGGTCACATCACCTGCAGATCGTGCTTGCGCCCCATCTTCAGTGTGTGGCCGGGACGTGACTCACCGTAGTGACCTGGAGAGGATACAGTTCTTCTCTCTGAGTGAGATTAGCCAGCTGGGACACCCAGTTAAACTGCTCATTCAGCTGCTTCAGCAGAAAGGAGGTGTTGAGCATCTTCTGCTGGTAGGACTGGAGCAGATCATCGTACAGCTTGGAGAACTTCTCAGCAAGCTGGAGGGAACTGTTCAGCTCCTGTCGCAGCTGGTTCTGGGAGGGGTCACTGGCAGAACAGTCTGCCCAGAGATGAAAAAAACAAAAGGCAGGCATGTGAAGGGAAAGCTAAAAAGGGAAGAAACGCGAATGGAAATCAGTTCATGCAGCCGGAACCTAAAGCCGGGACCTCGTCTCAGCGCTGGTCCCCAAATCGTTTGTCATCAGTCTGTGACAAAATTAAGAGCTCACCCCAGAATGCAGATCAATACACGGCTTCCTTCATCGAGAAAGTCTTGCTCTGGAAAACAGTGTCATCTGAACTAAACAGTGTGCTCGGTGACATGGTCGATTTACCTTCTGATGCAAGACCCTTATCTCCGGTGGTGAGACGGTGGTGAGCAGCACTGACCACGCTCTGAGAAGCATGGATCTCAGTGCTCCACGTGCTCAGACCTGGAGCTGCCCTGGCTGCCCTAGTTCCCCCACGAATCCTTCCTGGAGAGGGGGGATGTTACTTAGAGCCGCCATTTGTATGGCACCTATTATGTACCAGATACCACGTAAGTGCTTTGAACATCCATTATCTCTAATAATCAGATGTATTCTAAGAACTGTCAGTAACGAAATTTTTTTTTTACCAGTAATGAAATTGAGGCCCTCAAAAGTAAATCACTTGTCTAAAGTCATAGCTTAAACAACCTATGGGGCCAGGATGGAACCCACGGCTTTAACTCCCAGACTTAGGCTCTTCGTATTCTGAGTCTGGGGGTCTGGAAAATTCTCCAAGCTTGTCTTTTGGGCTTATCTACAGAGTTGAAAATTCTGGCCCCAAGAGTCCACGCGGCAGAGAAGCCGGCCAGGACTGTTGAGTCCCAAAGCACAGCAGCCCGGTGGCTGGGGCCCTTGGCTTCTCGCCTGCCCACCACAGCTGGTCACGAAGCTCACCAGGAGAGCAGGGGACATGGAGTTCATTCTTGTTGGTCCCCGAGCACTGACTGCAAGTTGTCAGATTGAAAGGAGCTGGTAAGTACCCCCTATGTCTTGTAAAAACTACTGTTTTTTTCTCTCCGTAAATTTTTCAAAACTGTTCCAAGGACAGCACATCACATCTAAGCGCAGCCGGGGAAAGGAGACCTTTGCACACTGAAGACGGGTAGTCGTTTATGTTAAATCAATCAATGTAATCATTTGTATTATAACAAAATAAAATGTTAGGTGGGGCAAGAAACAGAATTACTAACAAGAAGCTAGGTTAGAAAAGATAATGAATATCCTTAACTCTTTTAGCAGGAAATCATTAAAAAATAAGAAAAGTCACTGAGAACCGAGACTCAGTCTAGAGCGTCAGGGGATGATCCTGTCCCCCAGAAAACATTAGCAAGGTCTGAAAACATTTTTAGTTATCCCACCTGGGCGGGGAGGGGAGACGGCTAATGCTATCTAGAGGGAAGAGGCCAAGGATGCTGCTAAACATCCTCCAGCGCACGGGACAGTCCCCAGTGACAAAGAACGATGTGCGCCAAAATGTCAATGGAGCTGAAGCTGAGAAATTCTAGTCTGGAGTTCCTGGCCAGCGCATGCTCATGTGGTCGCAAGCACCTTAAATAAGAGGTTGCATGTGTTCCTCCACGGAGAAAAGAAGGCAGCTGTTTAGGTACGCTGTGATCAGTGGCCACCAAGATCAGGGCCAGGGGTGCCAGTCTGAGCCTAGACATCTGTACATCTTTCCTTCTGGCCTTAATAGGACTAACTTTCTACTAGCAAGGCACTATGTAATTTATGCTTTTCTAACTATGGTATTTCATGGGAACAGCCCAAAGAGGCTTGGCTCTGTACCCATCTACACTTCTTCATACATAGCCTCTTATATCACTTGTATTTATTTTTCAGTGGCTTCTAAAATTATAGGAATGAGGCCAGAGTATTTAACCGGACTCTGAAGGCCGGCCCTGGAAAATCCAAACATATTAAATAAGAGCAAAGCCACAAGACTGGTCTTCTATTTACAAGAGAAACAACTGACTCTTTCTGAGCACAGACTATAATGAACCAGGAAGTATTCTAGATGCTTTTATAGCTATTATCGCAAAGTAAGAAGAAACCAGCCAGCGTCCAGATCTGATAAAACTGAGGGGAACAGCTGAAGGGAGCTATATCTCCTTTGCCTCAGGGACCAACCAACCAACAGTGATGCTGCTGGAGAGCTAAGGGATCACAGGCAGTGACCCCTGTGCGCTGGGGGCAGAACACAAAGCACCGGTTAAGAACATATTCCAAACACCTAGCTCCCCAACGTGGGCTCCAGTAATCTTGGGAAGTTACTTAACCTTTCTCTGACTGATTTTGCACCTCTGTTAAGATAGGGACAATAATTGTACCCAACTTAGGGTCATTCTGAGGAAATGCGTACTTGTTTGCAAAATGTTTAGAACAGTGCCTGTCACGTGGTAAGTGTCTGCTAAACAGAAAACATACTATTGAAAATCATCGGCAGGGGGAAATGAGGATGTCTACTATGCTTGGCCCTCAGGAGAAAAGAATAACTGGGGAAATCAAAGGGTGATGGCTTTTTTAAAAAGCATAGCAGCCCCTCCCTGGACCGCCTGTCAGCTGTGTGCTGGAGCACGTGGCAGGCAGTCTGTATACTTAGTTTCCCAACTTCAGGTACGATTCCACATCCTGACCCTTATCTACAGATAAGAGGCCTAGGCAAAGCAAGGCAAAGGGTCTCCCCTGGTGCCACGGCGAGAAGGCAGCAGAGCTGGAATCTGAACTCCCTTCTGTCGACCCCATCAAGGCAGCCCCACTGAGGTACCAGGGACCCAAGGCTTCCCGACTCACCCACTGACAAGATCTCTTGGCACTTCTCACACTGGTCCTTCATCCTCAGGCATCCCGTAGAGTTGTGACGGATCTCCTTGCACACAGAGCGGTTATCATGGTCTTCCAGAGAAATGAGAGAAGAGGAAGTCATGCCAAGGAGCCATACCTAGCAATCCGGTGATGGGCTACCCGGACCTCTCTGACCTCCCCCGCCACACACACTACTGATTGGACCTTTGAGATGATTCTGCAGGCAGAGCAGGTTGGAATTTGCCCGCGGACACAGGCTTCTGGTCAGGGCTCCCTGCAAGACCAGGAGGTGGTTCCCAGGGTTTCCCCAGCTGGGTGTGGCCTCCCCTCTTACCACACCCACCTGACGAGCCCTCTCCTGCCTCCACACTCCCTCAGCTATTGGCACTTACCTTTGGCATCACAACCCAGTCTGCTCTGCATTTTACCTGGCTCCTTTCTCTCCCCCTAGCCAGTCATCAAGCCCCTCGAAGGCAGGAATGGGAACCCCCTTAAAGCCTCCTTATAACACAAGCCCCCCAGACCCCGCTACGGATATGCAGTCAGTGCTGGTTGAATTCAACGCTCCCCTGAATTTCCAATGCATTTCAAGCCGAACCCTGCTGCCAGTTAAACCACAGCATTAGGAGATGGTGCTGGCCAACCAGTGTCTATTGGTTCAATGAAGGAAGTCGCTTCTGCAAGTACTGGCTTTTCATGTCCAAATCAGACTTCATTCATTCAAAAAATATTCATTGTGTGTCCATTCTCTACCAGGCCCTAAGGTTATAGCTATGAACAGCTTTCTTAACTATACTATGGGCCGATTATATAATTTGTCATCAATGTACACATGGGGTCCACAGAAAGCCGCCTAAGTTCCCAAGAGGTTCTCTAGAGGGGAAGGTTCAATGTGATGCCCACCAGTTGCTGGAAGGGGCATGGTACACCCGAGAAAACACAGACTCCAAGTTCCGCAAGGCTAGACTTGACCGGGTCCTATTTTACAGGCTGTGAAAACCTGGACACACTCCTTTATCTCTCTGTCCATGTTTTCTGTTCCTTCAGTGGGGTTACTCCCACCCTCACGGGGTTGCTGGAGGGAAATCGAGATGACACTTGCCAAGTCCCAGCGTAGTTCCCAGCATCTGATGGACCTCTCAACCAGCTGATAGTTCCCACCCCTTCTTAGGAGAAACGAGACAACTTTCTAACCTGCCGTGAATTCCGCCATCGGGAACTCATAAGGAAGTCTGTGGGGGTGGCCATCCATGGCCTGCTGAGCCTGGCTTATCATGTCGAAGAAGGGCTGGAACATGTCCTGAAAGTGTGGGGGTCTGAACATGGGGAAAGGCATGATGTTCCGCGCCAAGCGGGACTTGGGACTGAAGTAGAGAGACCTCCTTGGGGATGAGCCGAAGGATGAGAAGTAGGTGTCCAGGGGCTCCCGGGTGAAGAACCTGTCCTGGAAAAGTTCGTCCATAATACTGGACACGCGTTTGAATCTGTCCTCCATGGCGTCCAGCACGTGGGTCTGCTGCCTGTCATTCTCCAGCAGCGAGTCAATGCGGTCCCCGTTAGTCCAGAGGTAGAAGGGAGAGCTCTGGTTCAGGAACTCCTCCAGCTGTGGAAGGCAGCACAGGGAACCCTTAGGAGAAGCCCACTGAAGCCCCAGCCTCCTGCGCTCCACTCCTGTTGACATGGGCCCGGCCTAGCCCCTCACTTAGCTGGGGCTCCTTAGAGTCACATGGCCCATGCCAAAGGGACTGGGACTGGCTCCCCGCTCTCTGAACTGTCAGGCCAATGCCCTTCCACTCTACTCACCCCACTGGGGAAGAGTTTAGGAAGCCCCATGAGGCTGAGAGAGTTCCAGAGCCTCCCACTCGAGACTGGGCTGCTGTCCTCTTTGACCACCAATGATCCCCACCCCTGCTCAGCCAAAGGCCAATTGATATGCCTTACGGTGAACAGCAAAATTCGTGAGTTCCGATGAGCAAGGCCCTCAGGGGAGGATGGGATCAACATTAATGTACTAAAAATTCTCAATTCCTTCAGTGTAACTGGACACAGCCATAAGAATCTTCTAAGAGATGGCCAACACCTGGCGCAAATGCTTTTTATGACTCCACAGTTCTCCACTCACAGCAGTCATTACTGATGATGGCTTTCTGGGCCCACATGCAGCCAGAACTAATCAATTGCATCTGGCTCATGAAAAGAAACTGTGATATTGTGATTTCTGATAAAGAATACATATTTCTAACAAAGAGCTCCTAAAACCCTTGGAATGTCCTGTGATGAGGACAGTAAAGGTGACTTGCGTTATGTTAACGAAGTGACTTTTGGAAAACACCTAAGAATGAGGCTGGTTGCTAGGGGAACCAACCATGATTAGAACTTTCACTAGCAACCCCTGATTTCTGGGGATGGAAGAGGGGCTGCAGGTTGAATCTTCTGCCAATGACCAATCATTTAATCAACCATGCTTATGCAATGAAGCCTCCATTAAAACCCAAAGTACAGGACTGGTGAACATGTAGATATCTGAGGAGAGTTGCCCCATACCTTGCCTTATGCATCTCTTCCATCTGGTTGTTCCTGAGTTCTATCCTTTTTTAATAAATCTGTAATCGAGTCAGTAAAGTGTTTCTCTGCATTCTGTGAGCCATTCTAGCAAATTCATCAAACCATAGGAGGGGATTGCGGGAACCTCCAATCTACAGCCAGTCAGAAGAAGCACAGGTGACAATCTGGACATGTGATTGGCATCTGAAGGGGATGGAGGTGGGGCCGTCTTATGGAACTCAGCCCTTAACCTGTGGGCTCTGATGCTACTTCGAAGTAGATCGTATCAGAATTGAGTTGAATTGTAGGACAACCTGCTGGTGTCAGTGAACTGCTTAGTAGGGGAAAAAACTCCACACATTGGAGTTGGGTGAAAAATGACGGAAATATTTCATTCAGATCTCTTCATTCCCCGCTCAGAGCCTAGGCTGCACTTAAGGAGGATTTTTCCCCTTTTCACCTGGCGGCCAACCAGCCCCGACCCGCTTCTGCAGACGCGTGCGTAGAACTTCATGCAGGTCTGTTTCAGGCAGGGCTTGCATTCCTCCCAGAGGGCCATCATAGACTCATTGCACACCCCCTGGGATGCCTTCAGCTTCATTTCAGTTTCCTTGGTATCAGTTAGGGCATCCTACAGAAGGACACAAGGCCAGGTTAGCCACACAGAAACCACGGCAATGGTGCTGGGCTCCCCCAGACCCAGGCAGGCCTTCCCACGGCTGGCCACACAGTGTGCTAATTCCCACCCCTGCTCTGGCTCATTCATTCCCTTTTCCGTCTACCTGAAATTCCCTCCTCATCCAGCTTTACACATCCTTTCATCTTCAGCACCCGACTGCCCCTTAGTCCTCCCCAGCCTCTCCTTCTCTGACACTGCACTTAGAGTCTTTACCCCAGGATTGAACTTTCACTTATACCGCACTTCCTAGGCTCACCTTTTGGTGCTAACGTCATCTTCCAAAGCTCCTGGAGGCTCCCTGAATCTTTTGTGTCTATTGGAACCATGGTCCCTGACATTCGCCAGGAATAGGCTTTCAAAATCAAAATCACCAAACTATCAAAACCCTCTAACATAGCCACGTCATCTGACTCAATAATTCTATGAGAATCTATGCCAGGAAATCCTGCAATAAAGGACAAATTCTCATGTTTAAAGATATTTGTTCCCATATATGTTTATGGCACAAAGGAAAAATACTAGAATTAATCCAGATGCTCAAAACTAGGGAACGAGTTAAGCAAATCGTGGTACATACAAAGGGCTGAGAAGTACAGCATTATGAGGGATGTTTACAATAAGTTTTAACATTAACGTAAGCATATTTCCTGTTAAAAATTCATGATTTCGAACACAGCCACTGTCAAAAAAGTCTAGGGAAAAAAGTAGTAAGAAATAGATCAAACATTAACAGTAAATTGTCCTTAAGCATAAGGATTACAGAAAAACTTCCTCTTCTACTTTTCTATATTCAAATTTTGATGAATGAGTGTATTACTCTTCAAAGGAGAATGAAGCAGACCATGAAGACACTGTGAAGATCTAATCAGAAGGAGTTCGAGTTATCCTATCGTCCTGCTCTCTGTCCCCTGCTCTGTGCTGGAGAAGACGCCCACACCTCCTACTGAGCCAATTCACAAGCGCCGACTACACCTGCTGGTCACTTTCAGCGTCACATATTCCTCAACTAAGTAGCAGTGGAGTCTACGGCCATGCCACCCTGAACAAGCCCGATCTCGTCTGATCTCAGAGGCTAAGCAGGGTCGGGCCTGGTTAGCGCTTGGATGGGAGACCACCTAGGAAGATCAGGTGCTATAGGCGTAAAAAATAAAAGATAAGGGATTGTAAGCTGACAAGGTCCTTGCAATTTGTGAGGTCAACCAAAGGTCGCCTCGCCTAAAAAATAAAAGCAGCAGCAGCAGCAGCAATGGAGTCTTTTTCCAAACTCCACGAGCTTTATCATAAAATCTGGCTTGTCGAATATCAAACTCCAATGTTAACCATAAAAATTTGAGAACAAGACTCGGTCCTCCCACAGGAGCTATTTGAGGATTCTCACAGAATGGTGAGAACTAATCCTGAAGCCGAGAAAGGGCACTAAGTTTCAAAGAAAGTTAGAGCTGCATCCAGGCCAGTGTCTCCTTAAGCGGCTTCCATGAAACTGTGCTAAAGCTGTTATGAATCGTGAAGGTGGCAGGTGTCCCCATCTTAGCGTCTTTCTTCATTGGGGGCAGGGTGGCAATGGGAGCAGGTTTTTAAGATACTCTTAAGACTATGGTTTTTAAAATACATTATTCATTGAATCAGTTATTTTAGTTTTGTTGCACCATTAGCACAGCCTGGACCCACTATGTTCATTATCGGACTTAGGGTCTCTTTATGAAGTAGTCTCCAACTCTAGAAAGATATGGGGCAATACAGTATGCACCTGCCTTACCCCACAGGTGTTGCCCCTACTAGATAAGCTTTCTGAAGGTAAGGCACCGTCCCCCTCCTACCCTGCAACAGACCCTATCTTGGATCTCGGCCATTGTCAGTGTTTAGAAAAATCTATTGAAGCGAATCTGGGCATCAGGCTCTGGGTTGGGCTTGTAACAAAAGCACATCCAAGCTCTTACCCTTTGAAGCTTTTTGGAAGCAAATAAACCCTCCCTATTTCTTAACTATAGTCTCCAGGTGAAACGGCCCTGGAAGGACTGAGGATCAACAAGGCATCCCAGCGGGACATCCCACGAGGAGCCAGGACCTGCCCTCCCTCCCCTCCAGTGAGGAGGGTGAAAGCAAAGACGTGGTCCCCTGTCTCTTCCTTACCTCTTTCTGCTTCTTGGCTTCCTCTAAGCTGCTGAGCAATGATTTGCGCTCATCGTTCGTGTGTTCTATGAGGGTCTTGATCTGTTTCACCTCCTTGAGGGCATTTTTAATTTCCTTATTGACGTATTTACTCCCCTCGGTGGACATTTCTACAAGAGAAGGGCAGGGAGGTAAAATGAGGTGAGAGGAAGAGATGGTGCTGGAGATATCTCTTGGAACCTGCTAGAATGGTCAGAAAGGCAGCTGGGTCCAGGGGCTGTCCAGGCTAGGAAACCCCTGGCAGGCAGCCTTCGGTCTCCAGCTATGCTCTGACACAGGTTCCACTCACAAGGCTCATTGTGGACCCAGGGTCCGAGAAACACAAACCTTCGGAGTGGGCACATCCCATTGAAGGGTCAGCGGCACTGTGCCCCTGCCAGCTGGAGAACGAACCTGCCCAGCCACAGAAGAAAATTTCAAGGAAAAAAAATCCTAGAAGCGTAACCTCTTCAGCACCGCAATATGAAATATTATCTTCTGTATATAAATCTTTCTAGAATTCAATTTAACCAAACATCTGGATTTCTCCAATGCACGGTGACAGAGACAGCAAAGGTGAATGAATAGCACTGTTCCTCAAGGAGACTGTGACCAAGACACAACACCCCGTGACAAATGCAATTAGACAATGTCACCAAAGTACCAGCTAAAGCACTGAGATAGACACCTCACATGCATTGTCTTTAATACTGCGGGCACTATGATTATTACCATTGCACAAACGGAGAAAAAGGAGCCCACTGAGATCAAGATACCTGCCCAGGGTTATACGGCTAAGGAGTGGCAGAGCCAGACTCATACCAGGGTCTGATCTCAAAGGTGGGGGTTTTTTTACTACTACACAAAGGACTGGTCAGCAGGTCAGACAAGAGTGGGACGGAAGGAGGATGGATTTCAGGAAAGGTCTGGCAGAATTGGGGACCACCAGCCGGGCTCCGAAGGATGACAAGCCTCCGACTGAATGATGGTTCCCCTTCCTTGCCCTGTGAGCAAAGACTACGAAGCATGGTGTTCTCGGTAGGAAGGTAGAGATACATGTACTAAGGGCTATGGAAACTCAGAAAAAGGAAGTCCACAAATGGCCCACACTCTGTGGACCTTCGCAGAGGAGGTGTGGGTGCCAGACCACACAGACTGGGAAGGAAACAGCCGAACGAGACGCAGCAGCTCGAAAAGGCTTTCGATACACCTGAAAATGCAGGGAAGCCAACCTGACCACAAAAAGCCTAGGCCAGGTGGCCAAGGAGAGGAGGCTCAGAGAGCGGCACGGCAGAGCAAACCAGACCTGACATAATGGTCTTTAACTCCTGGGGTCCTGACAAGAAGGAAGTATGTCAAGGGCGGCACTCTGGTCTACTTACCCTGCAGCTCTCTGTCTGAGACTGCCTGGTCGCCCAGCACCTGCCCGTTCTCCCAGGTCACCAGCAGCCCCACCAAGAGCAGTAGAGTCTTCATTTTGCCTCCTCCAATTCTGGAATCCCAGCACGCCTCTGTTTGTAGAGAACAGGACACTGTCATGGTAACAGCTAGACAGCCTGCTGGTTTCCGGCCCAGCCTGCTGCCTGCAGCAGCTTCCCAGGAGTCCTGCAGAGGCCTTGCCATTAGCTATCCCCTCGCAGCTGGCATCACCGAATTTTTATCCCCAGGGAAGTTGGGAGAAAAGATCAGACTTGCCAACGGACACGTTCAAAAGAAAGTAGAGGCAATGGGTACAGAGAGGGACCACAGGACAGCAGCTTAATACAGAAGAAACAAAAATTCTGGAGTCAGAGCCCTGGGCTTGGGTCTAAGCCTTCCTCTTCCTCCTCCTCCATAACAGCTAAATATGTGTGAGCAAGGCACACATACTTTCTGAATCTAGAAACGGGTCCGTCTGATGATACCTGCTCATGTCAGACAAACCCTGAAAACACCTCCATCAGATCACTCATCTGGCCTTCTCCTGTCCCCCCATCAAGTGGGGATCGCATCCCAGAGCTGACAGCCCTCCTGCCATGTGCACCGCTAATCCTGCCCACAGCAAGTATCACCAATCAATCACTGCACTTGTCCACACCGAGCCTCAGCACAACCTAAAACCGGTTTCAAGAGTCTGAGGCACTGACAACCAACCCTTCGGGTTGACACAGAAAAATAAATCCATTTGCCACTCCTAGTTGTGAGACTCGAGCCACAACTGTGAGGCTGCACGGATTGGGGATATAAATAAAGAGTGAAGCCAAGAAGGAAGGACACTTGTCCTCAGGGAGGAAAGAAGAGACAAAGTCGAAGGGTTAAGGTTGGGACCAATGGGTACTTGGGCCCTGAGGCCTTCCCAGGAGCAGTCCCTGTGGGAGGACGCGGGCCTCTGCTCTGCCAGGTCCCTTTTATAGGCTCATTCCCTTTAAACCCACAGCAGGGTTCCCTGCCAAGGCGTTCCTGCCACCACTCTGGGCTGGCTGCCCTTAGCCTGGGGACAGCCCGGTCTTACACAATAGACCCTTTCCCAGAAGCTGAAGTTGTTGCATAAAACAGAAACCCCTCCCTCTGTAATCCACGCCGCCGCCCCCCCCCCACCTCCACAACTGCTTATCTGAACTCACCCATTTCTCATAACAAAACAAGGAGGTGAGGTGCCCCCTTCCCGAAACTGTGCACGTCCAGAAACTGCTCTCAGCTCAGCAGGCCCATCTGGATGCTGGGTAGAGGATTAATAAGGCAACCCTCTCCTGAAGAGTAGTTAGTAAGGCAGCTGAGTTGTGGTTCCCAAACCAGCTGCCCAGAACACAGAAGCCGCATGGAAGAAAGAGTGGGTCTTCGCCTTCCTCAAAGACAGGGTGGGCAGCTGAGCCAGGGCGCTATTTCAGGCCTGCTGGAAGGTCCCGGTCTAACAGGCTCTGCCCTAGCTGCTCACTGAAGCCTGAAATGCCTCAAGCAGGGCAGAGCCTTTGTCTAGACAGAGAAAGCCGGCACAATACACCATTTACACTATTCGCACCATTCCCTGCAAGGCCCCCGGTAGCAATCGCTTCTGAGAAATTCAGAAAACAAGGTGTTGGGTCTTAAAGAAAGGAGGTGGAGGGCAGCCAAAGGCAAGAGCACTGGATAAGGAGTCTGGAATCCCAGCAGCAAATACAGGGTCTCCCACCAGGAGCCTAAGGTTCATGCGGAGCTATTGAACTCAGAGCCAGGAAAGAGGTCAGTCTTCTGCCCAATTCCTCCACCCCAGAGGGGAGGCCGAACCCAGAGACAGGATGGGGCTCCCCCATGGCCCATGGCAAGTTCATGGCAATCCCAGGATGAGAACCCAGCTCTCCCAACACCCAGTCCAGTGATCTTTCTTTGACACCAAGTCATTTAAGTCTCTGGGCCTCAGTTTCTTTGTAAAATGGATCTGATGTAGGCCTGAGAGATGAGAATGTATTTTGTAAACACAGTGTCCTATATAATCGTGGTGAATTCTGACGACTTCAGAATTTGATGTAAGACCAAGCATGAGCATTGACAATATCTCTTGGAGAGGTGGGAGCAGGTAGCAGGTTTGGAAAGGGGCAAAAGAACAGAAGCAGGCACACAGAGGTCACCTGTGGTCCCTCCGTGATTGTGTGTCTTCGCTTTAGTGCAATGACCAGCTACTTTAAAGTACCTATGAATCACCTGAGGGTCTTGTTATAATGCTGATGCTGATTCAGAATCTGCTTTTCTCACATGCTTGCAGGCGATACGATGCCACTAGATCAGTGGCAGCGCGGTGACCTGCCCTCCCGTCGCGCTGACTCCCCTCCCCTCCCATCTCCAGGCCGGGGTGACTGGCTGTCAACTTCTCTGATTAGAAGAGCCACGAATGCCCTCCTTTCCCACCACCACTGGGCAGCCTTCCTTCCCCCCTCTTCCATGTAGGAGGGCTTAAACCGTGCAGAGAGCGCCTGGGGGCGGGGGGGGCACGGAACCTGAGCAAAGTAGCCATACAGCTAGTAAGCCGCAGAGTCTGAAGCCCAAGGCTCAAGGTCTTACCCTACTTCCCCACTAAATATAGAAAACTAAACCAAAAGAAAAATAAGAACATAATTCACACGTAATTCATACCATCCAAAGGGAAATATTACCTCTGTGGTATATTTCCTTCTATTTCCTATGCATTTGTATACAATCCACTCCTTTACATCCACTATATCAAATATTCTTTATAAGCACACTTTTGTGGATCTATAATAGTCAGTTTTCTGATCTACTCTACTTTGCTACCCCACAAGACTGGACATTTAAATTGTAATTTCCCATTATTATTATAATGAACACTCTCATGAGCATCCTGTTATAGTATCTGTACTTAATCTTAAATTCCTAACCTCTCTCTTTAAAAAAAAAAAAATTAATAACCAGCTCTTTTTTTCATTAGGTCCAGAAATTCTGGATGGTCAAGAAGCTGCAGCTCTAATCTCTCTTCTGACACCTACTTGCTGTTTATCTTTGCAGATGCTCTTAAACCCCTCCAGGCCTCAGATTATCATCTATAAAATGAGACGGTTGAATCAGACGTCTGAGGTCTGATGTAGGTTGTGTGACTTTCCCTTGATGTACCCTAGTGCATTAGGAAGCAAAAAGAGTAGGATTTAAATGATTGCAACATATACTTAAATCAAAACATCATACTTATAAACACACTACCCAGGGAACTAGAAAATTCTGAAGCAAACAAGATGACTCATGCATGCAAGCTGACGACCATTGCTGGAGATGGTACCTTTCCAGGGAAGATGCTGCAGCAAGGCCCTATGTGCTGGCCGGCTCCACCACTCAATAGCCTGAGCCTCCGGCAATAGAGGTCAGTTCTCCAAGTCTCAGTTTCCCCCGTCTTTGCAAAAAGAGAATCATTACACCTGTTCTATTTACCCACAAAATTGTGTTTGGAGCTAATGAGCTGAGTCCCAGCCTGTGCGCTGTCCCCAGCTATTTGGCCCCCTCCTCGGTTGCCTGGTGATGGAGATCGGGCCACCTACCTTCCCAGGCTCCCTTGACTCCATCCCAAGCGCAGCTCTGACAACTCTGTGTCTACTAGCGATTGTCCTCTCCTCGCCCACCTGCCACCCCCGCCCGCCCATCAGTCCGGGTGAGGATCTGGGCAAGGGTAGGAAAGGTGGGGACATCTCACCGGTCAGTGGTGTTCGTGTGCTCCTCCTGGCGACGCTGCGTGGCGAGCGCGGTGCAGCGCCCGTATTTATAGAGCTCTGCTTCGTATACACCCCCTTTGGGGCTGGCTGCAGACCTGCATGACTCACGCCCAAAGAATGCCGGGGAATGCACCGGGAGCTTTCTGGAAGCAGGCGCGGGAGGGGAGTGCGGGGGTGCGGGGATCCGGTGCAGCATCCCGCAAGGGGCGCCGGGGGGCGCAGCAGCACCGCGAAAGGCCTTGTCTTGCGCTCCAAGGGAGACAGACCCTGGGGTCGTCTCGCACCTCTCCCCGGGGGTTCGGAGTTGGGGGACGGCGCCCCCGCGATGAAAGAGCCTGAGTTAACGTGCACAGCTGGGCTCCTCTCTCCTCAGGACTGGAGGGGGTCCCCTGCGCCCCTAGCTGGTCCTAGCCCAAAATAAAACCTCACAGTCCAGCAGCCCTCTTGAACGTTAATCTTTCACATTAAACATGTGCCGTTCCTCTCCTTTCATTTAAGTAGAAAAGCAACAGAAATAATGAGGGTGAGATGGAGAGGGGTGTCGTGCTCAAGAAGAAAACACAAAGGGTGACATGCTGACGTCCGGAACCATCACAGTGACCAGCTGGCCAAGAGGAGACAGAAATGTTTTTAGGGATGAACAGAGCATATATTTGGGGAAGAAGAAGCTCCCGGCCTCCTTGATTCCTGGACTGTAAGCATGTAGTCTCCATCCACTTGAGATCCAGCCAAGCACGGTGGGCTCTATGGACATGGGACCCTGCATCTCTGCACTCGGTTTGATGCACGAGTGCTGCCGCTTGACACTCTTATCAGTTCTTGAACCAAGGGGCCCACATTTTCACTTTGCACCGAGCCTCAAAAATTATGCTACCCATCCTGATTACAAAGGGGCTCACTAGCCTCCAACTGCCCCAAGTTCCCTCTGCTGACAGGAGGAAGCTTATTTCTGTACCCCCTTTGGCCAGTGGCTTCCATGTGGCAGTGGGATAGGAGCCATCACACCACCCCCGGCAAGGAGCAGACCAGCTCAGTAGCCCCTCAGGTATAGCTACTTCTTGGGGAAGAAGCAGGGGCCCCCACTCTGGACCTCCAGGGTGTTTGAGCACCAAGAAAAAGGATAAGGGGCTGGAGAGTGTTTCTCTCACTGATGGGGTAAGGTGGGAGGACGAGACAGGTGTAGGCAGCCTGGTTTTGGCGGCCAGCTTTGAAAAACGCTTGAGATGAAAGGGTTTAAAGGAGAGCTGTATGGTCAGGGGCTGAGTTTTCCTGTTCATTACTTTCGGGATATCGCTAGAGGCCCCGTCTCTGATTGCCCAAAGTCCAGGGGCAAGTAGGACCTCACGCCACTTCAGGAGGGAGCCTGGAGAAAGCTTCCAGGCCTGTGAAAAAGGCAGGAACTTGAGCTGAGTGCATGGAATTCTGACTACGGTCTCAGCTCTGCACCGAAGCACTGGGTGACCTTGGACTAATCACTTTGCCCCCGGGGTCTCTGTGCCTTCTAGACGATGAGGAATTGGGTTTGTATCATCTCTAAGTTCCCCACTTCAACCTAACCTGAGACAGCGCCAGTATGATATCATCAGCTCAGAAGAAAAAAAAAATCTAGCAAAAATTTGGAGCAATGTTTTTTCTCCTGAG